AGAGAGAGAGAGAATGGATCGCGATTAAATGAAGGAAGTTCGATAGTTGCAGCGTCGAGCCGCGCGTACGCGCGAGCGGATTATTTATCGCCCGCGGAAGATACGCCCCCGAATGACGAAGCCGCGGCCCTAAATTTTCGCGAGTTAATATCGCTAATGCCGTCATCAGTACGCCCATATTCGAGTTATATGTGTGCCGCGACAAACCCCAAATTTCCGCGAGCGCGAATTAATTTCCAGTTTTGGTGCGCCCCGCCATTAATTTACGGCGCGGCGCGCGGAGCCGAAATTTTCACGGGCCTTAGTTAGTATTATTCGCGTCGCTATCGGGGATCCCGCGTTGAAATTAATACACGGTAACGGCTCGTCCGGACGCAATTAAAAATTCACGTGGCAATATCGCCATTGTTAATTTATCAGCTATTATTATATTATCGCCGTTATATTGAAACGCCCGCGTTGATTTCTCCGTGTCGCGCGTCACAAACCCCAAACTTCCACGGGGAGAATATGATTTACACCGTCCGCGAAACGCCCGCGTTAATTTACGGCGCAACGGACGTTACGCGAATCTCTGGGGGGGGGGGGGGAAAAGACAGTTAAGCAACCCATCTTGGGGCCCACAATTACTAATCGAATCATTTCGATTGCCCGTAGCTCTAATTTTACGAATTTTACCCCGCGTAACTGAAACTCGCAATTAGCTATTCTATCTATAGCTAAGATTTAAAAGTAATACGAGTCAATTCTCTCGATTAGTTCTGTCGATATTCAGTAACGCAAAGATCATTTTCGCTTAAGTGGCACCGAGGGGGAAACCGCTGCTGTGGTGTACAGATTTGCGGCATTACTGGGCATTACGAGGCATTTTTTGGGCAATAGTTTGGGCATTAGACCTTGCCGGGGCATTGTAGAGATATAATAAGATATAATAAGATCATAATAATAAGATAAAACAAGGTAAATAAGATAAAGCAATGCCCATTGGGCGTTAGTGGGTATTGGTGTACAAGATTTTGGTCAGCGGTTTCCCCCTCGAGTGGCGCTAACCGAAATGTTAAATTGCTTGCCTAAAAAAAAAACCGTCAAAATTTTGCCCAGAGATTCGCGTTAACGTCACCGGCGCGACTTCCGAGATTTTTTCCGTCCAACAAGCTCGATTCGGTCAGTCGCGAGGCTGGTATTAAGGACGTGTTGTACACTAGGTATCACTGACGATTTCCCACATAAATTTGTGTACGTATCGACCCATTTATACACAGAAAATGTGTTCTGCATGCGCCTAAATTCGTACGGGAAGGCATCAGTGATTCCTAGTGTACGTACAATCGTAGCGAAAGGCAACTGAAATTCGACTTTGATGAATATATGCTGTTCTCAGTAGAGCTTGGGCAGTAAAGATTACGTAGAATCTTATTTCTGCACAGCTAGAATTCAGAAATATATTTTTAATCTTGCCACCCAGCGCAGTCACGTTTTTTCATAACCTCGCAGGTAAATTCGCAGGTAAATGCAGGTAAATGCAACGATGCAACTTCAAATTCTTATATGTACAGAACCTGCGATCGCTTCAGCGAAACAACCCCGAATTTTTTTACAAGTCTCCAAACACATGTGCCAGTAATTCGTCAAATTTTTGGAATCTTTTGAATTCAAAACTTGATTGAATTCTTGTAGCGTATCTCGCGATCGCTTCAGCGAAACAACTCCGAATTTTGGTGCAAGCCTCCAAGCACATGTGCAAGTAATTTGTAAAATTTTGTGTAACTCCGTTGAATTCAAGACTATTGAATTTCCCCAATATTTCAAAAATAGATACTAAACACCCTTAAATGCCAGATCGCACGCGGCGCGGCAAAAAACGTTGTTAAAAAATCTTCTTCCGCGCTTCGAATCGCGGTTTCATCCCGCTAGACGCGCGATTAACGCAAGCTCTCCCCCGCCCCCCTCTGCCCCTCCCGACCGACGTAATGGTCGACGACCGCGCGTTCGTGGGTGCAGATCATTTTCGAATTATAAGGGATCGATTGGGAGCGGGACGGCGATACAGTCGCGATGCGCAAATTGTTTGTTACATCGCCGTTTATAGCGTGTTTTATCGCGCGTTACACAGAAGTGGCCGCTTTCAAAACTACATTATTGTTACACGAAGCACTGTTAATTATTGCCGGGGGTAATGGAGCGATATTAATAGAGATGCGTTACGCTAGATGCGGACGCAACGGGCGAGAGGGAGGGGGGGAGGTGGCTGTTGCGGGTCGGAAAGAAACGGATGGATCTCTCTCGCCGCCGGCGAATTCAGCCTCTCTCTCTCTCTCTCTCTCTCTCTCTCCCTCTCGTCCGATTTTTCGCAGCGAGAGCGCGGAGGTACGCGAGAGAAAAGTACACGGCCGTGACCAAAAAATGGGGAGAGGCTAATTGAGATTGCAAATATCCTCACGGCGGCCCTTAACTACGTTTGCAGAAAGAAGCGCCAATTAACTCTCCGCCGCGGCGTGTTTTTACTTTTTGCGCGACAAACCGAATGTACGACGGAGAGGAAACAAGAGCCCCGGCGCTCCTTTCACGAGATCTGACATTTGCGGCGTCTCTCTTTCTCTCTCTCTCTCTCTCTCTCTCTCTCTCTCTCTCTCTCTCTCTCTCTCTCTCTCTCTCTCTCTCTCTCTCTCTCTTTCTCGTAACGCGCGATTTTCGCAAAACGCAATATCGGAAATACACGGGAAAACATGACATGAAAACGCGTTTTTACATTCGTAATAGAAGCTCGCTGCTCGACGTGTTTCAGTAGTTTCAGCCTCGAATAAATCGCTCTGAATAATGATTTTAAAAAAAGAAGAAGAAGAAAGAAAAAGAGGGACGCGTGCAACACACGGAGAGAGTCAAATCGATCGGTATCGAGGACTGGCTGCGAGGAGTCGCTTCTTTACACGGCCCACGGTCTCTCGCCACCCACACTGGATGCCCACACGCGCACGCACACGCACGCACACAAACGCGCGCGCGCGCACGCGACGAGACGCGGGCGTGTTAAAATTTCCATGGACGATGAGCGTCGAGTGTCGCGCGTGCACCTTCTTTGCGCCACCGGAAGCCCGTTTCAAGAAAGTACGAGGCTCTCGCCGGCGCCGGACGGCGGGGAAGCGAGCGGCCCCGTCGAAATGCGGACGCGAAGCCGCGCCGCGTAGTCCCCGGCATTTTTGCAGCGCGAGGATACCGCCGCTATAAATAATTGGCGTCGATACCAATTGCAGCGTGTCCGCGCCTCGACGATCGCGCTCTGGCCTCCCCTTTCTGCCGGCCGCGGTTTTATATCAACGCGGGCGTCACGCTCGCGCCGTGGTCGATTGTGCCCGACGCGTGTGTGCGCGGGCGTGCGTTCCTTTCTCAAATCGGGCGCTCTTGAGAAACGCACGCCATTCGGCAGGGATCGCCTCGCACGATGCACCAAGATACAGTGCACGCTGTTTAAGGCCCGGTCTACAATGAGTCGTTAGTCGTTAGTCAGAAGTCGCAACTATATGTTGATCCTTTTCCTTTCTGGGTGGAAGAAAAAGGACCGACATATAGTTCCGACTTCTGACTAACAACTCATTGTAGACCGGGCCTAAGTTCGTCGATTCTCGATCATTTCCCGGTCGCGACCGCGTCCGACTCGACGCGCCGTTAATTTCACCGGAACAATCGCCCTTGCGACGCGCGCGCGCGCGTCGAAATTTGCCGTTGCGACGCAAAACGCGCGGCCGAGGAGTCGCATCTTTAATTTAACGCTCCGTTGTTTTTCGGTTCCACTGATTGACGACAACGCGGAGTGCGAGCCGCCGGCGACCGAGGAACGATTAAAAATGAAGCCGACTCGACGAAGTCAACGTGAATTAATAGTGCCGAGCGTTAAAATGAATACCGGCCGGGTTAGCGTCCCTTCGCGCCCTCGCCGACGCGGGCTTCGAAGGACCGCGGCGCCGCGGAGAGTCGAGCGCGTCCCCGCGCTCTCCTCGCGAGACAAAAACCGGGGCCCGGGTCCCCAAAAGAGCAGGTGCAAGGCGATCGGCGTCACGGTCATTGATCGGAGAGGGGGGGGGGGGGCGTTTGTGACAGGCCGCCATGGCACCGGGCCGCGGAATCGCGCGGCGGAGCGATCGGCACGTTGATTTCGGAGCGGAGGAAAAAGCGGAGTTCGCGGCGGCACTACATCGATCGCTCGCAAGAGCGCCTCGCTGCGCCTGACATTTCCCTGGCTCCAAGGGTGAAAGCGTCGCGTGAGCGGGCGAGCTCTCCCTCGGCTCGCCGTCGCCGATACGTCCGTCCGCCTCTGACTCATGCCGGTGGTGGAAAAAAGCACGAGAACGCGAGAAAAACCGGGTAAGAGAGAGAAAGAGAGAGAGAGAGAGAGAGGGGGGGAGAGAGAGAGAGAGAAAGAGATAGAAAGAGAGGAGCAACGACGGGGATTCTTACCTGCACCCGGCAGACCGACAGGACGCCGAGCAGCGCGGCCAGCGCCAGCATCCCCTTCATCCTCTTCTTCCTCTTCCCGGCCCGCCTACGGTCCCACGGTTCTCGCACGGGAGAGAAGTGTCCGCTCCGAGAAGATGTCCCTCTGCGAATTCGCCTCCGCGGTACGGGATTCTCCCTCTCACGCCGTCCCTGGGCGCCTCCTCGCCTGCCGCCGGACGCGGTGCGTCGTAAACTCCGCGGTCGCGTCGCCCGGAGCGAGGACACGGCACGGCCGACGTCGGCTCTAACAACTCGGCCCGTATATACGCGGTCTCGATATTACGGCGCGCGCGATACCGCCCGTCCGTGACAACCACCGAGAGCGCAGCGTACTACTGCTGCCCGCCGCCGCTGGGTGGGTCGCTCGCTCGCTCGCGCTCCTCGGCTCGCCGTGGATAGCAAGATGGCGGCGCGCGTCGCGCCGCCGGTGCGCCGCGCCGTCCGCCAGCCCGCCGGCCAATCGCGGCGCGGCCGCCCGCTCGCCGGCGCGCCC